GAGAGATGACTATTACAAAGTTGTAATTATTAAAAATATTGTGGAAGTTAAAATTAAATAGACAGATGCAGTCTAGGAAATGTATTACAGAATAGAGTCTGTTATTGTTACTCAACTCAGCTCATTGCCCTTGAATTGGAACCAATTCATAGATGATCTTCCATTGGGTTTCCAAGGCTATAAATTGCACAGAGATTGCCCATCTTTTTTTGGAACCACTGATGGATTCGCACCACCGGGGAGGCGTGGCCTTTGGGTTAGAGCAACTCCTGTAGACCCCATTAAATTGACCATGACTTCTGGTGACCATTTGAACGACAGTTTGAAATCTTACTTCATGTTAATCTCATGATTTCCTCCAAACTCAAGCACATTGTTACAGTCACTGTGTCATTCATCTCAGTGAAAGTCTTTCTTTCTTTCTTTCTTTCTTACTGTCTACTTTTCCACATAATACTAGAAATGTGCTTAAAGAAATATGAGGACTTCTGTAAAAGTAGCACTTCATGTTAATAGAAAAGAATAGAGAACCGGCCCAGTCGTATTGGCCTGTTTGGCTGTCTATTACAAATAAAAGGAAGACTTTTCTACTGTACACATGTTTCATATGGATTATAGAGATATGTGTGGAAAATTAATCAAACCAGTTATAACTACATTTAAGAAATAAGAGGATAATCTTTATAATCTCAGGGAAAGACAAAATTATAAAAGAAAAAGACTGACAGGAGAAAAGATGTGGACTAGGCAGATGCTCTAGATGTTGAAGATAAATCAGTGAACCAAAAATGGTCCCTGTATTTGCAGAATTTATATTTTCGTGAAGGGAGAAGACAAAAGTATAATATGCTAATGTGATCAATGATATGGGGGAAAATAAATTAGTAGATATTAACAGTACCTGAACTTCAATTTGTTATCTTTTTTCTTAAGGCTGAAGAATACCTTTTAATATTTCTCTTAGTGAAGACTACTGGTGATAAAATCTATTGTGTTGGTCTAAAAGTTTTATATTCTTTTTTTCTTGATATTTTTATTGGATTAGAATTCTAAATTGGCAGCTATTTTCATTTAGTGTATTGAACACATGATTCCATTCCCCTCTGGATTCCTGTGTACTTTTGAAAATTCAGCTGTTGCTCCATTCATCTGTCTTGTTTTTCTTGGCTACTTTTGTTATTCTTTCTTTCTGGTATTTTGTTTGTAGCAGCTTTTCTGTTGTGTTTAGGTATGATTTATTTGTAATATATCATTCTTAAGTCCATTGGCTGTACAGTTAACTCGTGATTGCTGTGATGCTAAACACTGTAACACTGATGTGTCAAATGAGATAATGGTTACCCATGGTGGACAGTGTTTGGTGTGGAGTTCCCAGTTAAAACACGCGTGGAAACAGGACTGGCATCTGCTTCCTAAAGAGCTAACCTCCAGAAACTCTACGAAAGTGGAGAAACGATGAGTTATACAAGTGTTCAGGTCTTTGGTTCATAGGATTGCTATGAGTCGTCTCTGCTCGACAACTCTTAGCAACAGCAACAACAGATATTGGTGAAACCTTTCATTAGTTTTGGAAAATTACCATATCATATTTTATTGTGTAATAGAACTTTTCTCTGTATCTGCTCTAGCACTTACGTTTTTATTTTTTTTCCTACTGTGTATTCTTCATTATGGACCTTTTCTCCTAATTTATGTTTAATAATTGATTGTATCATAATATCTTCTAATTTGACTAGAATTTGAATTCAGTTTACCTTCTAATTTGATTGTGTCAAATCATTTGTTAAATCCACTTACTGAGTTTTTCACTTTAGTTACTGTGTTTTTCAAGTTTTTAAGTTTGAATATTTTATGATTCTGCTGATACTAAAATGCCTTTTTTTAACACACTTTTCTCCTTGCCCCCCCTTCCACCCAGATCACTTTTTACTTTGGGGAAAAAAGTTCTTTCATTGTTATACAGTCGTTCCCCACCACCACTCCCACTTTACTATGCAGCTATTATTCTGAACTTGTCATGCCAATAATACCCAGTTATGTATTTCTTTTATATAGTTCCTCTCCCTCGTCTGTTTCAATGCCATGTAGATTACTTATCGCCTCTAAGTTTTTTGCCAGCCCTCAGTGAATGATTGGAAACCCAAGTTCTTTATAAACTTTCATTAACATCTCAATATAAAAAAAGAAATGCCTTTTATTTCACTGTATAAGACCATTCTGGTTATTAGAAAGACTCACTCTAATAAATCTGTTATAAAGATCTTCTCTTAGTTTTTTGGTAGTTGTTTTTTTGTTTTGTTTTGTTTTGTTTCAGTCTGTTGGTTGCCTTGATGTTCAGTCAAGTTATTATTGTTGTTGTTTGTTGAGTTACCTGCAACCCATAGCAACCCTACAGTAGCTCTGAACTCTGTCCTATCCTGAGCCAGTCTCACTGTCTTTGACAAACCAAACCCCATTACCCCAGACTCTGAGTCAATCCATCTCATCCAGGGTCTTCCCCTCTTGCACTGACCCTCCACTCTTCTAATCAAGATGTCCTTCTCAAAGGACTGGTCCCTTCTACAATGCACCCAAAGTGTGTTCAACCTGAGATTCAAAATCCTTGCCACCTAGGAGTAACTTTGTTTCACCCTCTCCAGGACAAACATGTTTGTTCTCTTGGTCATTCGTGGAATGTTCAACACTCTTCTCCAGCACCAAAACTCAAAGGCATCGATTCTTCTTCTGTTTTCCTTAGTCATTGTCCAGCTCTCTGATGCATAGCAAGTAATTGTAAAGACCAGGACCTGAATCAAGCTGTTAGTACCAACAGTCAGAAGATAAAAAAACAAATAGCATTGGGAAAATCTACTGTCAGAAACTTCTCTAGAGTTCTTAAGAGCAAGAATGTTAGATATTTTAATATCTTTATATGTTAAGCAGCAGGACAACTTGTTATTCCTCTCTTGAAGAATATTTATGATGGCTACTGGAAGAAATCGAGGGTCATTGGCCCTCTCAAATTACTTGGGTAACATTTCAGAGATTGAGATAGATTAGTCAGTCTTTTCTGGTTGAAGTTAATGGAAAAGTGGGTACAGAGGAATAGTGGACAAATTAGTGCCAAAATCAATAAAATTGACATCTGGCTTCTCAGCCAACAATGAAAACCAGAGAACAATGGACTATTTTAACTTTTCTTCAACCTGTAGGTCTCTATCTGATACAAGATGCTGCTCAGTTTTTCAGCCTCTAAATCTCTCTCTTTCAGAATTGCCCAAATATACCTAGGGGAAAAAACAACCTCAAATGTCAGATTCTGTCAAGGACCTAAATCCATAATTATTCATTGAATTTTCATTTCTGCAGTATTTTCAAGACAGATTTTCTCTACTACCTGTCCTGCTTTTCTATACTTTATTGTCATATGAAATTAAAGTCTTATCTTTTAAAAAAATAGTTTCCAATTTAAAAATCTAATCTCCTTTCTTCAACTATGATAAGCATCATTTGAGCTCTGTCTAACACTTTCAGTAACTAGAGTCCCCTGTGGATCTCTACCAGCTTTGTTTTGGGTCTCAGGTTTCCTGTGTACCTTGTTGTTCATGTGCAGTTTTTCAGCTAAATGGCTTTTCAGTAATTTGAAAATTGTTATGGTATCACCTCCTTCCAAAGAATGAATTTTCTTTCAGGAAACACGAAGCACTAGTAACTGATGTCTCAAAAACTGTCAAGAAGACAACTTCTCATCTGTTCAGCTTCCTCTTCTGGATTTGGCAAATGACACTAGAAGATAAATGGTTGCAAAAGCTACACTTGTTTTCACAGTTTTCTATACTTTCACCTTGACCTGATGGTTCTTCAGTGTGCCCTTGACATACACAAGCTTTTTCCTTTTTCTTTAGAGGTTTGATCTGAATTTCCTGGTCTCTCTTATATGTGAGGTAGAAATCTTTATCATGTAATCTCTTTAAAAACTATATTAAGTTATCCAGCCTGATTACTAAATCCAGTTCATGAAAGGCAGCATGTTGTTGTGCTGTTTTTAGGTGCAGTCAAGCACAGCTCATAGTAACCCTGTGAACAAACAGTCTGAACACTGTCCTGTCCCCTGCCTACCTCACAATCTGATACACTCAAGCCCATTGCCACAGTCACCATGTCAACCAGCCTGGTTGAGGGTCTTCCTCTCTTTCATTGGCCTTCCGCTCCCCAACAATGATGTCTCTCTATTTAAGAAATAACATCTCCTAGCAACATGTCCAAAGAATGTGAGACAAAGATTCTTTGTTTCCAGTGTGCACTCTGGCTGCACCTTCTCCAAAACATACTTGTTAGTTCTTTTTGCAACCCATGGGATTTTCAGCATTCTTCTCCAACACTGTATGGTTCAAAGGTATCAATTCTTCTGTCGTCCTTAGACATTCATTGTCAAGCTCTCAGATGCATAGCAAGTGATTGAAAAGACCATGGCCTGAATCAGGCGCACCTTAGTCCTCAAACTGGCATCTTACCTTGTCAATAATTTAGGGAGGTCCCTGACTACAGACTTTCCCAGTGCAGTCTTCTGACTGCTGCTACCAAGTATATTGATTGTGGAGACGAAGGTAAGATGAGGTTAACAGCATAGTTGATAGTGAAAACACTGCAGGGTTGCGGTGGGGGGACTTAACCAAGTTGAATTTAAGTCCTGCTTCCACTATTTATCACATGGTTTGAATCTAGCAGAAAGATGGGCTATCTTCTCCCTTGTGATTAACTGCCTCTGAAAACCCACTGGAGGGTCAGCTAGACATTGGTTCTGACTCCACATTACAACAATAAATATACCACTTATGTCATACCATGGCTGTAAAGTTTTGGGATACGATATGTAAAGTACCTAACCATAACCAGACCTAGTACATGTGTTTAAAAACTAGTATACATGATCCTATTCCTGTTTTCCTACCCCTGTACCAATTTCATAACATTGACCTGGTCAAATTCTGAACCCTTTCCTCCTCTTTTAATTCCTCCAGGTGATTCTAGTCACAAGATTCCCATTTCAAACTTTGAGTCTGGGCATGACCAAGCAACTGTGTTACAAAACCTTTATAAATTTATTCTTCCAAACCCAGGGAACTGGCCACCTATCTACTGCAAGGTATGTCATGTAAAGTAACCAGAGAACATTTTTGCCTGGGTATTAATTGTGTATTAAAACATGCTTAGTCTGGGTTATTTTTCTTGGTTTTAATTCAGTCCTTCATATATATCATGTAAGTGCTTTTGTCACAGGGTCTCTTCACATCCTCACTGTATTGCCTCTGTTCCTTCACCTCACCCATCTGTCTGCTAATCTCTGCTGTCCTTGTGCCCTCTCTTTGGTTCCTTTCCCCCTTCCCTTTAGGCAGTTATGTGGGTCCTAACCACTGCAGCCCAGTCAGTTCAGACTCATTGCAGCCCTGCCTTGGTTTCCTGTTGCATAAATCTTTACAGAAGGAACATGTCCATGCCTCTCCCTCTGAGAAACTAGTAGTTTTGAACAACTGACTTTGATTCATGCACTATGTCAATAGAACTAATTTTAAATATAGTTAAGTATGTAGTATCTTTCATTTTAAATTGTCTGGTTTCGTTTTACATTCTCTGGTTTTAGAGGCATTTTGAAGGCTGGAAAACATATTTTTGTTTTCACAGAGTATTTTTTAGTTTCTTATTCTAAAATACCTACAATTTCCTTTTACTCTCATCTTTCCATGAAGATTAACTTTTATTCAGAACTATATTTGTAATAATCTTTTGCTTCTCTTCTTAAAATCTTTGGAAAAACGGTATGTTCTTTGTTTAAATTATTCTAGGCTAAGTGTCAGAGTTCTAACTGTCAGGGTTCTAACTTTAGTACTTAACTGAAATAATCTTGAACAGATTCCCCACTCTTTTCTGAGCATTTCTTCATTTTGCTGTTCAAAGTCTTACTTGCTTTATATAAAGCATACTAACGTTGCTATACAAATATAACTGATTAGTTATAGCAGTAATTATACATATTTCACTTTTTTATTATAATTCTTGATTTAGTAATCACAAACTCTTCAGTCTCTTCCATCGTTCTCAAATTTAAAAGGACAACATTAATTACGAGGAACTCAAGGTAAAAATAGGAAGCAAAAGTGATTTTTTTTTTCCTTCTCCAGTCTGCTGATAGAGCAAGAGTCAACTGGTGTTTGAAGTATATGGCAAAGACCTCAGGTAAGTAAAACTCTGGTCACTACAAAAGGTACATTACAGTGTCTTCATTTGTTTCCTTTTTATTATACATATCTTAAATACCTAAATTCACTAATTGTGTTTAATTTTCTCTTTACCATTGGAAGGAATCAGGCATGATCTAGAGCTACTTACTGTGGAGGACCTTGTAGTAGGAATCTATCAGGAAAAATTCCTCAAGGAGCCCTCCAAGACCTGGGTGCGGAGCCTCCTAGATGTAGCCATGTGGGATTATTCTAGCAACACAAGGTATTTCAAGTGACTTTGTGCATTTATGTACTAAGAAAAGAATGTGATACACATATGCACATGGCATCATCTTGAGTCAATTGTTGTAGTAGCAGTTTGCCCATCTTTCTCTCATGGAGTTGCTGGTGCATTAAACCATGTACCTTTCCACTGGCAATGTAAATACTTACCTCTTAGCCAACAGAGATCCCTAATGGCAGCTAATAATTAAATATACCCCTTTTAAATATATACACACACACCACATACATATATATGTGTGTGTGTATGTGTATATATATGTGTGTGTGTGTATATATATATGTATATATATACACACACACACACACCCTTTTGATGGCAATATTTTCTTACAAAGCCTTATTATGCTGTTATGGACCATCAGGTCAGAACTGACTCAAAGCTGACCCTCCCTTGGGTTTTCAGAGGCAGTAAATCACACATGAGGAGCTTGCCCATTTTTCCATTATAAAGCAATAGAAGCATTTTTTCCTTGAATATAAAATTCCATTGATTATAAAATACTTGATTTTGTGTACCACTAGATAATAAACAACTGCCAAATAAACTGATGCATTGCTTTCTTATCACTCATAATTTTTATACTAATGAAGGCATACTTAGAACATATAATGGAAATGAATTGGTAGAAGTATTTTTATTTTGAAATAATTTCAGACATATTTATTCAGTTATAATGACACTACAAAGATGTCTTCTATCAGTCTTTCAGATTCTCCAGCTGTTAACATTGTAATACATTTTCCTTAATCATATTTTCTTTAAGAATAAAGATGTTATTTTTGTGTGCTATTGAGTTGGAACCAACCCATAGTTGACGCTCCAACAAGTTTTAAGAGGCTGTAAATCACAACCTCGGAGCAGTTGGTAGATCCCTGTGAGTTGGCAGTTCAGCCTTCATACCACTAGGTCTCTGAGTATGGAGATAATGCTCTCGGAACTATAGTCGTGATGTCTCTTTATCTCTAAATATCTTTGGTGTAATCAGAATGAAGCCGTTAATGCCTATGTAATATTTTTATCTAATTGGGAGATCTCTTGTTCCAGTAATGACTTTAATAGGGCAAAAAAGAAGTTCTAATCTCCTAAGGTGCTATCTAGGATCACATTTGCATTTAGTCTTTTGTTATGATAACTAACCTGGAACAGTTTCTCAGTCACGTTCAGACTTTCAGTTTTGACAGTTTGAAGCATATAGGCAAATTATTTTCTAGACTGTTCTCCATTTGAGTCTTTCCTCTATTAGATTGAAATTATAGGATTTAGAAGTTCAAATCTGAGTGCTAGTATAAAATCTAAATGGGAACACTGATAGTTCTTCTAAGGGTGTCTGTCATATCTGAAGACATAATGATGTCAATCGTTATGATGTCAATGCACTTGTTTAAGTAGTGCTACTAGAGTTCTCCACTCAAAATTACTGATACTTTATTTAAATTATTTTTGAAACATACTTATAGATTACAAAGATAATCAATTTCTCAAACTTTGACTTGCTAGCTCTAGAATCCACTGATGATTTTTACCTGAGTCATTTATCAATTAATTGGTGATTCTCTAGTTTGATTATTTTTTAGTTGGTATTCTATAAAAAATAACAACAACTCACCTTTCTCTTGGTATAACATGGATCTGTCCATTTGCTGTACAGAGGTAACTTGTGGTTTCTGTGAAGCCGAACACTGTGACATTGTTGTGCCAAATGCAAAAATGGTTAGCCACGGTGGACAGTGTTTGATGGAGCTCCCCAATTAAAACAAGCTTGGAGGCAGGAGTGACATCCACTTCCAAAAGAACTTGCCCCCAGAAACCCTGTGAACTTGGAGAAACGATGAAAGTGCTCAGGTCTTTCATTTATAGGGTTGCTATGAGACTTCTGCAACTCGATGGCACTTAACAACATATGAATATGAGCCATGGTGGATCTATGATTAAAGCATTAAAACTTTGAATCGAAGGTTGGTGATTTGTCCACCAGAGGCTCTTCAGGAGGAAGATGAGGCATTCCGCTTCCAAAAGATTTATCTTAGACACCTTATGGCACTGAATGAAGATCTACTGAGTAGTAGTATTTTTTTCTTTACTTTTTCTTATTTTAATTTACAGGTTATTCCATCTGTGGCCAAATGGGCATACCTTAAAGTAGTGTGTTCTGTGTCCTTTTGACATTTTTTTTTCTCAGCAGTTGTACAGTTTTCAACACAATATGGTGCTTAAGCCCATGTTGTCATTTGTTAGTACCATGTTGTACTTTTGTTTTGGATGAGCTATTTCGAAGAAACTCTAATTTTTAGTAGAAGATAGTTCTTTTTTATTTTTTAATTTATTTACATTATGATTCATTCTAAATCATTGTGTTTCATAAAAAAGATTGAGCCTCAGTGCTAGTTGTTTTTGTTCCTCTCATAGGTTACTAATTGCGTTGTCTTCTAAGGAGATTTAGAAAGTATAACAAAATATGTAAAGATCTGAAGTTAGAAAACCAGAAGAGACAGACACACTCAGAATTTGTCAAGTGGAAGGAACTGAAGAACAAATTCAAACTTCAGCTTGTAATACTGAAGGAATCTTTAGACAAAATCTTGAGTGATACAGGAAGCATTGAAAGTCTATTAAACACTTGGCACATGTCAAACCACTTCAGAAAAGAAAATAAGATCCAGAACCAATGGATGGAAAAAATTCAAGTTGCACTGAGGAATTGGGGGGTGAGGGGTGAAGCCCTAAGAATTAACGGAATATCAATTGATATGTTTCAGCAAACAAAACCTTAGATTTACCCACTAGCCTATGCCAAGAAATTTGGGAGACTGATACCTGGCAACTGACTGGAAGAGATCCTTATTTGTTCTTTTTTGAGAAAAAGATAATTCAACAGAATGTGTGCATTATTTAAAAACACCATTACTATCACACACAAGTAAAATCTTAACTATTAAAAGCTTTTTAAAAATGACCAGAGTGGTACATCAAAAGGGAATTACCAGAAATTTAAACTAGATTCAGAGTGGAACAAATGATAACATTGCTGATGTCAGATGGATTCTGGCTGAAAGCAACAGAATACCAGAAAATGTTTACTTGTATTTTATTGACTATGCAAAATCATGTGACTGTGGTTCATAAAAAATTGTCAGTAACACTAAGAAGAATGGATGAATTCCAGAACACATTAATTGTACTCATGTGAAACTTGTACATAAACCAAGAAACAGTTGCTTGAACAGAATAAGGGTTTAAAACCAGAAAGGATGTGTGTTAGGGTTGATCTTTTCTCCATACTTAATCAAGATATATACTGAATAAATAATTTAAAAAGCTTTACTGTAGTAAGAAGAATGGGGAGGTGTGGTGGCCTAATGTAAGGAGCTGTGCTGCTATCCTGCAGCTGCTGCACAGAAGAATGATAAGCAGTCTCCTCTCATGTGATTTACTGCCTCTGAAAATCTGGAGAGTCAGCTGTGAGCCGGTTCCAGCTCAGTGGTATATAACAGGAAGACTGTGGCATCAGGATTGGAGAAAAGCTCGTTAACAACCCACATTCTGCAGATGACACAACCTTGCTTGCAGAAAGTAAAAAAGCTTACTTACTAAAGGACAAAGACTACAGCCTTAATATGGATTACATGTCAACATCAAGAAAACAGAACTCTCACTACCAGACCAAGAAGCAATATGAAACATGGAGAAAAGAATGGAATTGTCAAGGATTTCATTTTATTTGGGTTCATAGTCAGCACCCATGGTAGTAACAGTCAAGAAATTAAAAGGATGTTTTACACTGGAAAAGTGCTAAAGAGCAAAGATGTCAATTTAAAGATTAAACCGCAGCTTGCCTAAGCCCCTGTGTTTTCAGTTGTTTGTTGTATGTGAAAGTTGGATACTGAATAAGACACACTGACAATGAATTGAAACCTTTGAATTGCAGTGTTGGCAGTGTTGGACTGCTCAGACAACAAACAAATCTGGCTTGGAGGAAGTACAACCAGGATGCTCCTTAGAGGCAAGGATGGTGAAACTTGGTCTCACGTGCTAGACATGTGGTCCAGAAGACCCTGTAGGATGTGGATTGACTCTGTCTGCAATGATGAGTTTGAACACAGCATTGATTGTGAGCATGGTGTGGGACAGGGCATGGGTTCAGTCTCTTTAATAGGATCATGAGTCATAGTTGACTCAGGGGCACTCAGCAACAGTAATAAGTGGACATGACTAGGAGATATTTTACATACACATCCATGCACGTATCTGTGAAGTCTTATGGTGTGGTCCATGGAATTGTGCTAACCCAACGACTAACGGCACTTGTCTGGCAGTTAGACTCTCGCAGTTGCTCTGAGGGAGAAAGGTGAGTGGTTGCCTGTTGTGTAGTTTACTACCTTGGGAACCCACTGGTGGGGCTGGTATAAGATGGAACTAACTTGATGGCAGTGAGAAGGAGGGACGTGTGTGTACATACATGTGTGTGAACACACATGCACAGAGAAATATTTTCTAAAATACCTAAGCTTCTGTAAAGCCCATTATCTCCATCTTTCTTTATGCCATCATAAATTAAATGAACCTTCCTTTACAGTCCAACTCCATTGAGTTCTTGAGTCTACTTTTCTATATTTTAATTTCTCTTTTTTGAAAGTTAAGAAACTTGGATTTCAGTATTTTTACTTTCTTATTCAGTCTTGGAAAACATTGTAAGTACACAGTGCTGGGTATGGTGGAGGGTCAGCGAAGGAGTGAAGACCCTCTGCCAGGTGGATTGATGCGGTGACTGCTGCAATGGGCTCTTATGTGTTGAGAAGTGTGAGCATGGCTCAGGGTAGAAAAGGGTTCAGATCTTATGTTCATAGGGCCACTATGAACCGTTCTCGACTCGACACCACCTAATAGCAACATTGGAAAAGAATGTATATTGTGATGATGTTGGAGGGAATGTTTTAAATATCTCTTAGGCCTGGTTCATTTATATGATCATCTAAATT